CATTCAATTCAACCTTCCATAAGGCAGCTTCATTTGGCATATACATACACGTGCACATTACAAAAGTACTCTGAGTACTCACATTTATATTTAATTTCACGCCTTGTAACAAATGTGTTCAAACTTGTATGTTAGTTTAATTAAATATAGAAAAACTGTTTTGTATGACACAGGTTGATCCAGCAGGAACGGGTTGTGTTGGAGCCATAGAAGCTGCTGCTTTTTTAAAGAAATCTGGATTATCTGATGCTGTATTAGGAAAGGTTTGTTTACCATGTTTAGTATATTACAGTCAGGTTTTTTACCAGTTGAACTAAGTATGTCTCGTCACACACATGAAAAGAAAATTAAAAATTTATTAATTCTAGCATTCTAACACTGTTACTGGATTTGGAGTAATTTCCAATATCAAAGACATTCACATTTTCAGGTCAGTTTTAGGTACATGTTCATAGTATACATTGCAGACTTGCTTGACCAATATAAACAATAACTGATCTCATGGATGTCGTATGGTTTCTTGTGTGTGCATACTTCAATCAACTATCAATAAAATGAGAGAGAGTGCTATCAGGATGACTTGCATATTTGTGGATATACTGTCAAGCAGGCGACCTGTTCAGTGATGTCATTAAGAGCCAGCATCGGGTAATTTACAACCACTTATCATAGGAAAAATCTCCAGCTATCAGTTTTGTTTTCATTATTATTAGAAAGTTAAGCTTGGGGAATATCCTGGTTAGAACATTGTATGGGACTCTGGAGTTTCTGTAATTTATTATATAATATATCTTTGCTGTTCAAAAGATGGTGTAAATTATGTTTAATGCATATTTGTCACTCCAATATATACATAATCACCATTTTTTCGCTTCAAGTTCGACTTCAAAAAAGGTGAAGCATACAGAATCAAGTTTTTAATCACCAACAGTTTGAAGAATTACTTAAACTTGCCCTCAAGGCTAATGAAGTCTTTTTTCTTTTTTTTTTCAGATTTTGAAAAAGCATGACCTGAGCATGTTTCTGCTTTATTAATAACTACCATGCTCATCTGTTATATTATATTAAAGCCTTAAGTCAAAGTCAGTAAACAGTAATTTTCAACCTGTTGTGATGATATACACTATGAATGCAAAACAATCTCTTGCATGCAGCAGTAAAGTAGTAGTATTATTAATATTAGTAAAAGTATTAGTACTGATAATACACTGAATATTTGTATCATCCCATTTGGTGCTTACAGTTGAAAACTTTTCATGGATGCATTCCACTGGACTTCCCTAGAAGGGTTTTGTTCCTGTGGTAGATGCCACCTATGAGTGACCAAGTAACCACCTATCTGGATTCTTAATGACATTACAACTGTTAATTGATCACTTCTGATTAGTTGTCCTTCATAGCTATAAGTTTGCAATCAAAATATATACAATTTTAATTGACTTATCAAATGTTTTGTTTGTAAAAGGTCAATAATTGATCATGAGTTATGACTTGTTTTATTTTTGAAGACGATTAGCAATCAGCTGTCGTCCTGATTGTCAGGCTAAAGGATGCCAATTCAGACTTGTAATTATTACATAATGATCACTCACACACATTTGTTTTAAAGTGGTGAAAACTGATTTATTTTACTAGTTTCAAAATGAGTATTCATCAGATCAGAGTACATCACAACGTCACAGAGTACTTTTTTTTTAACCACATAAAAAGTCATGAATACCAGTACACATATTGAACAAATCTCAAACTAACAGGGTATCAATGTGATACGAAGGCATAAGCATAATTGTTACGATTGGTGTCAGCAATTATTGTTAATTATTTAAGTACTCACCTGAAAGTGTTCACCATTTCTTAAATACTTAGAAGAATTATATATATGTTAAGTCAAATGCACCATTAAAACTCCCCCTTAAAAGATAAGATCATTCGGGTGTACTTATTTGTTTGGGGACTGCTTCTTACAGAAGAAAAGTTATAAAATCTATGAACCTAAATAGATTTTAAATTATTGTGTAAATTTACAATAGTAATTTCCCAAAAGATCAGTTTCATATAATTATTTAGATAAAGGAAAAAATATTTTTGTTATTTATATATAAGAGGAAATGTGTGTGTGTGATTAAAGTTTATTAAAATTACTTTGGAATTTGTATAGGAAAGTTGTTTTTTTTAGTTTTTTTATGAGTCTTCATGGAAAAGATAGGAGTTTCAGATTATTTTCAGAAAGTACAGTCTGTATAATAGGGTGGTCCTTATTTTTGAAGTTTTGATTTACAACACTCTCACCCCATCATTTTGTTCCTATATATAAACAAGTAAACAGAAAACTTTTCAAAAAAGAAAGTAAATTTAAAGATGGCTAATGTCAATTTTTTTGAAAAACAATGCAAATGAAATAGCATGGATTAAATTTGCATCATTCCTACATAATAGCACAGGCACACCAGTGTAGTAGGATATTAACAGTCAAAAATAGGATAAATTAAACTTAATTGTGATTGAATAGTTACATATTGCTATATGTTAATTCTTAACAGTGCAAATGCCATCCCTATATTTACTTCCTTTTTTGAAAAGTTTTCTTTACTTGTTTGCTTGATTTTTAATGCAGTGTTTCAATGGACATAAGAATATTATATTTATAACCAATTTCTAAATACAAGGAAGTTCCAACTGTAATATTTATTGTTCATCTATTATTTCCTGTTTCACCCTGTACTTAAGCTTTTTAAAGGAACACTAAATATCTGTAAAAAAGCTAACTTCAAGGGGAAATGATAACATCATTTACACCAAAATTATAATTTTTTTTTAGTTACTGCTAGTAAATAATACTTATAAAAGCGGATACTCCATTCGAAACTATGTCACCTCAGTGAAATTGGTTGACACCATTGTTTTGGTTTTTGATTTATCATGTAATAAAGAACAAGAAATTTAAACTTTTTGCTCTGATATTTACAGACATTCCCAGAACTTGTGATTCAGCCATTACGTAGATATTGTTATAAACACTATAGTATTGTAAAGTTTTGATGACCTATTAAGAATATACTTAAAATACCATTTTAATGAACAATCCACGCCATCCCTATATAGGCAGTGCTACCACCTGCCTGATAAGTAATTCACACCAAATTTTATCAGTACTGAGTAACACTTAGGTGTTGCTCAAGATAGCTGAAGTTTTACCTTGTACATCACATTATATTTTCATCTTCTAAATATTCTAGAATGTTCCAGAATATTCTAAATAGTTTTGGAAGGTTCTAGATTATTTTGGAATATTCTGGAATATTCCGAGGTATTACACAGATTTTCAGAATGTTCAAGAACATTCTATGTGTAAATAATTCATCCTATCAGTTTTTATTTCTGAAATATTCTATATCATACCTTAGAATTTGACCTAGCATGTTTTTTTAAAGACCATATGAGGCTTTCCTCTAGCCCAGATATTACAATTTGCAATTTATTCCAGCAATCTTGGAAATAAATGCACCAATACAGTTATGAAATTACAGTTGGCTATGATGAAGTAACAAAAACCATAGAGTAAGTTAAGGACAATGTTATTGAATTTGCTACAAGACAACTTCTGGTCAGCCAACCTATAAATGATTATTGAGAGCTTCTTTAACTAGCCATGGAACCTTTTTTGGTGGCATCCTTTCTCTTGGACTGTGATTTATAACATTTGGAGAACTGCATCATGTACAATTGATGGCCAAGGTATTATATGCCTACAAAATCTGGATGTTTATGGGACAGTTTCAGCTCACTGGCGTAAGGAAAGAGAACTCTATAACATCTACATCTTTGTTGTTTGAGTCTATCTTGGTGCATAGTTCACTGCTCCTTATGTCATTTCTTCTCTGTGCAGTGATCTTAACTTTCTACCATGTCATGTTAACTATAAGAATGTGAATTTTCTTCTTTCAAAATCTACCTGTAAAACATTTGCTACACATTGGTGGTATCTCAATGAGAAACTCATTAGTTTGGCATTCTTTGATTCAGTTGTATCTATAGAAACAAAACAAGCAATGGGAAAGGCAGAAAATGAGAAGGAAGGCATGGATAAACCTCCAATGTGCATCCAGCTGAATATCAGGAAGCCTGAGAACATCTCAATTGAAGAGTTCATCACAAAAAATACAGCACACTTCTTTAGGTGCCTCAAAATTCCATCCATCTGGATTTCTGGATTGTGACTCTGAGCCATGAGAGCTCAGAGAGAACAACAGGGAGGTACTACAAACAGTTCAACACTTGAATGTGGTAAATGACAATGCTGAAAGGGATATGACCCTTTTTGGGGAGTATAATGCCATCTTAACAAAGAAAGAAGAACAGAAACAGTTCCTCATTCACGTTTTGCAGGATCATAGGAGACACTTTCCTAACAGCAAAATAGAAACAATAACAATGCAGAAGTGACTAATCATACCAAAATCTTGTAATTGTGTAATTATACTATTGTACATGCAACAAAATAATATACTTTAAATAAATCTTTTAATACTTAACAAATGTCTATATCAGAAGTACATATGGTACCAGGTCAGTACAGTCTAGGACTTCCATTTCATTGAGAATCCTCTAATTAAAGTTAAAAATAGATGAAATTTGACATTAATGTTTTTTTTGTACATTAGAAAAAAAAATTGTGTGAGAATTTTTAACCTGAAATTTTACATGCAAATAAGGACCACCCTACTGTGTAGCCTCCTTTAATCATTATTATTATGACATTTGTGTTTCTTATATTCTAAGTAGAATTTGTTCATTTTTACGGTTTAATTTTATGTAATACTGTCTTTGATACTTGAAGAATAGCAGTTTTTATGGTGTAGGTACAATAATTTATTTAATTTCTGTAGTGCATATTGGTGTATAGAAGACATATTACTACTAGAAATAAATGACCTAATAACACTAAAATGTTGTTTTTATTTAATTAGACATTCAACATTTTGCTTTACAGCTTCTTCAGGAGCATTCACTAAAACACATGTGAACAACCTCGAGAATGTTGTTCTTCCATGATAAAACTTTCCAGTTTCATGATACAGTAGTTTTAGTATGGGTTCAAGTTTCTATTAATAATTACAACATTCTGTTAACTGTATGAGCACAGCTGGGTCGAACTGTACATGTCACAATCTTTTACAAATTTACATTCAAAATTTTATTAAACAAGTTTTCTATCAATGTACATCAATAAATTATCCAAATTTTTCATTTCTTAATTTCAAAGGAAAATATTTAAAAGTATTCTCAATCATCATTTCTTGACAGAATTCCCATTTTTAGATTTTATATCTTCAGTAATATAGATTTCAAAGTGTCCAAGCAATTAAAGTAGAAACTATACATAATTACAAGTTAGAAAGTAAAATTTGAACCTTCTACCTCTCCATTTTCTTAAGTATCATTAGATTTGTCAAACCCACCAGAGAAATCACACCTATCTGTCTCAGTTTTCAAGACATGTTTATAACCAATAAAACTCTCCTCTACATAAATCTTATGATCTTTTGTTTATTTTTGATGATGAAAGACAGTAGTTGAAAAGGAGTGTTTGATTTGTATTGAACAAAGTCATTACTCCTAGCAGTAACAGAATTTTATTAACATATTTATAGCTTAGTCAGAGAGCTGGATAGATAATAGTTATTTTTGGACATTCAATTTCAGTGACTGGTATATTTTTGTGTTCTAAAATTCATATTTAAAAGCTACATGAAGTTTTTTGGACAACCAACTTTTGTGAGGAAAAACTGGGGTCTAGGTAACTACATGTGCAAAGATTGTATGCAGGTGAATTGTACTTATTGTTTACAAGAGACAGCTAATGGGCTTTCTTGGTGGCTTATTGCTTTGTCACAAACATTACTGCTCCAGTTGGTACAAATTCCTGCAATAAAAACCATAAAATTAAAACTAAAATGTGAAAAGGTTGACAGTTGAAATTGTTAAAATAAATATTTGGTGACAAATGATATATTTAAAGAGCCAAAATAATTTTTGTTCATTTTATTTAATATTTATCAACTTTTCACTATACACTGATGAGTTCACTACAATTAGTATTATAGAGTAGGAAAAATGAGAGAAAATGTAAAATTTTTACCCCAAAAAAAAACTTAATATTCAGGTAGGAGGTTCTAGAAATTATGCAAATGAAATATGAAAGCTATAAGATGAAAATAAGTATTTTTATTCCTAACATGAAAATTACATTTCACCTGGACTGACTCAGTAAAAGCTTTATAAACACACAGACAAGTTTATAGTAAAAAAAACTTTGATGAAAAATTCTTGTTGTTTTTTTTTTTGTTGTGTGTGTGTACGACAGAGATTCTAATCTTTATTAAAAGCATTAAAAATTTTGTGAAGATACATTTGGAACATTTAGAGTTACAGTATGTTATATACATGATTACATTGTAGTTACAAGGTATGTAAAATTGACTGAGCCTAAATAGAGATGGTCCATTAAAAAGAGAAGTGTCTAACAAGCCAAAACCACTTGTACATTTCAGTAATATAAAAATTATCTATCAACACACACATGCCTAAACATTCCCATGATAACCTCATGTTAATTATATAAACTCTCCTTTAAAAAAAATTAGGCAAAAATGAAAGAATTTATTTGGATAGGAACTATAATAACACTATCAGCCCAGAATTACAAAGCTCAAAATAACTATATTTCTTGTTTTTAATTATTTCCATTTTCATATACATTTATTAATAATTCCATATTATTCCAATATTTTAATATGTTAATCCAAACTCAGTTGTTTTTCAACTATTTTAATTTTCCTCAAAGGTTTTTATATAGTTTTCATTCTGACACTATTTCTTCTCCTTCAAAAAATATGCATTACCACCATATGTCTGGAAAATGTTATTACACAACTTTTCCTTACACCTTTTGCTCCTATTTATTATCATAATTATTGTTTTTATGTGCATAAACAAACAAAATAGAATAAAAAGTATTTTTAGAAAATTTGATTTCATTGTTAAATAGTTTTTGCTTTGAGAAAATGTACCTTTTTTATTAAAAGATTGTTAAAAATATAATTAATTTTATGTTTTAAATAATAATATAAATATTATAATTGTGCATGGAAAATCCTTTCCTAAAAGACTCAAAACTGTAGGATTATAAAATAATTTTTACGTTAAAAGTAGTTTACAGTTGAACCATAAACTTGTGTATGAAATTACTTCCCATATGATTTAGACAAGTATTAGTTTATTATTATTATTATTCATATATTTTATCCTAGTGCTACATATGCTTCCCTTTAGTGCTAGTAAAACCTTTAACTATTTGTGTATACAGTTATTTGATGAAATATTTATGGTTTAAAAAGTGTTTTGCACAATTATACATTATATCTAGCTATAGAACAAAAATGTCAAACACATTTCTATTGTTTTGATATGACTTTCTAAATATTACATTTACAATGAAGATATAAATAGCAATGAGAAAAAATATAAGGCTATTTATAAGAAACTTTCCAATTAAAATATTTTTTTTTTGAGAAAATATGAATTATTTTAATAAAGATTAAATGTTTAAACTCTATTTTTATTGACTTTAGATATGGGACCTCTCTGATCCAAATGGAAAAGGTTTCCTTGACAAGAATGGAATGTTTGTAGGTCTGAAACTAATAGCTCTTGCTCAAAATGGGCAGAATGTTGATATGACTAATATAAATCAACAAGTGCCTCCTCCTAATATGGTAGGAATATATTGATTTTTTTTAGTTAAAATATCCATGTGTGCCACCTAAGTATTATAATTATTTTTAAATTGTTTATGAACAAGTATCTTTTCATTCATGCTTATTCCATAAATTATAAATTTAGTTAATTTGTGCTCAGGGTTGAATTTTAAGATGTTAAACGTCATATTAGAATTATAAAATTTTTAAAATATTACACTTTTTGTTTATATATTATGTCTTTTTAAAGATACTTTATTTGTTGGGTATCCATAGTAGATGGATATCTTTCATTTATTTATTTGTTTTTTAACATAGGGTCCTACAACATCAAGTAAAAAAATGTCTACAGTTATTGATTGGTCTATAAAGGTAAATTAATGTCTTTATTTTATATACCTCTCAGTTAAAGCAGTCCATGTGAAAATAAACGATTCCTATTTAGTATCCATAGTGAACTTTGTACCAGAAAACTTTCTCTGCTTCTCCTTATATATCTTACGTGATCTTTTCATAAGCAACTGCATATTACCTATATACTCTTTTAAATTACATTATTCAGTCTGACAAAAGTAACAGTTTCTTTCTATTGTTAGTGATACTAAAAAATTGTATTCTTAACACTAAAACATGAATATATAGGTTTATAAAATTTGCCCATGAGGTTTCAGACCTGTTCCTGTTAACAGATAATGCTACTCTCTTTAGATGTGTGCAGGAACATACTTGATTTGATTATTTTATTGACTGGTTCACAGTTTTTGTTTAGTGAAATACTTTGGTAAAAATAAAGGTATTATATATTATTAACTAATTAACCTTATTTAATAGTGCAGAGGTTTCTTAGATAATTTTAGATTCTTCTAGTATAAACATGAGGCTAAAAATTTTTCATCCTGAGTTATTTTGGATTTCACCTATTGAAGAAAGTGGGAATTTCTATGATTGTAATAGTGGTACTTTAAAATTATTTTTAACAAGTATATAACATGATAGATTAATACCATATTTGCCCAAATGTAATGCACACCCAATTTTGAAAGATTAAGTTGAAGAAAATTTGTTGTTGTTTTTTTTTTTTGTCCATCATTTGTTTATATGTGGTAATACACTAAGCTAATCATTCATCTTCACATAAATCTTTGTCATCGGATTTGCTTCCTTGAACCTTTGCTGCATCCTCTTCTGATTTCCACAGCCTATTATCATCCGTCCCATCCACTGCATTGGTTTTCAATATTTTTTGAAAACTTTAATGATTTTCGGTAGTAGCTTCTAGTAAAATACCTAACTAAATTGAACATGTGTGAATATAATGTGCAGTCAGTTTTTTGGGAGGTATTTGGAGGAAGAAAGTGCGCATTATATTTGAGCAAATATGATAACTAACATTTTAAGATAATCCACTAAGTGATGAATTACTATATATATTTATTTCGTTGTCTTGTTTTTAATAATGTATGTATTAAACAGAAATATACTTCATCAAAACTTAGCTTAGCATACAAATTAAAATAGAATATTCATAATATTTATTTATGCTTGTATTATTTTACCTATAGATTTTTGTTTTTCAATGTGTAGGATTACAAACTTAGATACTTTCAGCATAATAGCACATTTACTAAAAAACTTGTACTATATGCAAGGTACATGGTGTGATAATTGCAAGTAAGTGTTTCAAGAGGAAATAATTTTACAGATAATATACTTTGTATTTCTTTAAAATTACATTTAGAAAGCTAATGGGATTCTCTTGCATATGTCTGCAGCCATCAGAACGTAATAAATATGAAGAAATGTTTAATTCTCTGAAACCAACCAATGAGAAGTTGCCTGGAAGTACAGTTAAACCTGTAAGTTGTTTTTGCCAGCCGAGCTGTTTTCACTTCATCTGTCTATGTGTTGTATGCTAAGTAATCAAAGTTCTTGAGGATAATATATGATTCAGTAAACAACTTTCTACTTAATACTCTTTGTATGTCTGACTTTGTTCATTTTCCTAACTAGAAACTAGTTTAGATAGATAAACATGAACAGCTGTGTTTCCAAAACAGAATGTTACCAAAACACATGAGCAGCGAAATTGTGCACTCGCAATTTTTATGAACATGTAATGTAACATTAACCTTGTAAATATTTTAGCTTCATGTTTTATATCAGGATATTGGTACAAGGTTATTTTTTCCATAGCTTGATAAGTATGAAAAGAATTTTTTGTAAGATAGGAGCAGTTTTAACTTCCATGATTCCTTTTCTATACTTGTTGTTTTTATGTTATTCAAATACTTTGTCATTAACTCTCTCAACATAGGCTCGGTCAATATGACTGACCACGTGACCTCTTTGTACTCGTTTAAAATCTTTATATTTTGATACTATTAACTTTTAATATAGTATATATATTTTCTCAAAATTTGGCAGACTTTCAGTAAACGTTATAAGTCTTACATACAAAAATCGTCCTTTTTAGTGAAGTATTTTTAATAATCTAAGAAACAGATTTGTCCATGAATACATCGAGTATTTTTTTTACTAGTCTGTGTGTAACGTGATTTTCATGTTAAGATTAAAAATACTTTTCTTCATCTCAAATTTCATTTGCGTAATCTCTAAAACCTCCTAACTACATTTCCAGTGTTTGTTTTCAGTAAATCTTTATATTTTATCTGTTATTTTCTCTACCCTAACTCTGTACAAGGTTGGTCAATTTGATCTAACTTGTAACCACCAAAAAAAAAAATTTAAATTACCCTTTTTTTTCTTTCGAGAATGACTTCAAATTGTAACAGTATACATCTATTTATACTAAATTTTATTGTTTAATGCCCTTTGAACTGTGTCTAACTACTATTTGCACCATTATAAGTCACTTGGGGAATGTGCAACTCATGTTATGCTCTTGATTTAAGTTACGCATGAGCTGCTCTTGTGTGTGCCACGTGAAACATTTTTATTATATTATTATTATTTATTTTACCTAATCTAACCTAAATAGATCAAAATTTTTACATTTTAGTTACTTTTATAATAAAAAATAAAGAATAAACATGAAAAACAAGAAATAAAGTACTTACCTGGGTCGTCCCTTATTTTTGCTGTTGACTGTCGATGACAACCATACTTTTTTTATGCTAATGGTAGTAATGCACTAAAAATTTTTATTCAATTAAATAATGCATCAAAGAAAATATAATAATAACATGCAAAGAGCATACAATTTACCCTAACTATCACAATTTTTCTAGCTTTCTAACTACGAGACAAGAGCCATTACAAATTCATCCAAGCTAGTCGTTATCTTTCCTGTAGGAACAAAGCTTGTACTAACAGAGAAAATGACAATTCTCTGTTCAGAAAACAATGTAATACAAAACGTTATTTGGTAGATGAAAACCTTGGCTTTCTGTTGGTTATACATAATTTAGTATTAAGAGTTAAGAAGAACTAGTAATAAATCCTGAAAGAGAGGATGTGAAAGGTGGGTGTGGCAAGAGGGGTCTGATTTTCTGTTTGATGGCTCTGTAACCAAACAAAATTGAAGGCTATAAAAATTATGGTTTGTCTGAGCAATGATGATTGTATAGTGAGTAATTTACATTAAATTTCATACTTATTGGAGGGATGGTGAATAAAATAGAGAAGAAGGGATGACTAGAGAAAATATGTCATATTTCTCACCCTAGGGAAAATTCACGATTATTTTAACTATTCCCTTATGAAATTAAGAACTTAAAACTTACATACTATTAAAACATGGATTATTAACTATGATTTTATGCTATACTAATTGGTATGACATTATAGCTAATAATCCATGTTTTAAAGTTTAATTAAATTTTGAATGTAAGTCACTAAAACCTCATGACATGCTAAGTAAAGGATGCCCGTGGCAATAGAGTTAAAGCATAAATAATCCCTCACCTTCAGTGCATTTATGTTGTTTTAATTCATCTATTCAAATAATCAAGTTTAAGTACAGATTCTATTAGTATACGAACTTAAATCGTAAACCATAACTAAGTTGGATATCATAATATAAATCGTAACCAAGTTGACTATCATAATATATGTTTCAAAGTGTAGAAAGTTTTTAGTAAAATGTAAAATGTTCTTTTTTTTTATATATATAATAAAAGTAATTATATTCTTTTGTGGGAAAACAGATACAAAATAGCTTATAGTTTCCTGTACCAGATAATCTGTAAACAAATTAATTAGTTCATTTTGACAAAGCCTACTGAGCTAAATACCAATGACAACTTCTTTTGGTCCATTCTGGCAATCTGAAGTTATAGATCTGTCAACTTCAGTCTCATGGAAAGTTCTCCAGAGCTTACGTCTGTGAAAAAGATATCTCACGTTTAATAGTTTTTTTATAAATCATAAATCGTAAAGTCAAGCATTCACTTATCACTCAGTGCTTGCTGACTTTCTTTTTTTAAGGACTAAGAATTTTTTTAGTTTAAAGCTTAGCTACTAAAATAGAAAACAAACATTAATTAAATGTAGTTAATGTCAAGTAATGTTCATTATTTAAAAGGGAATTGCCCTATTAATCACTGGTCCAGCATGGTGATGCATCTTCACATTTGCAGACATTACCATTTTGATAGGGAATTTCAAGTAGTGAGGTTAGAGGAAACTATTTTTATAGATGCTTAAACTATGAGATAAAATTACCTCTAATGTTTTCTTAGTTACAGCCTTTTCCCATTGTCAAAATCAACAACTATGTGAATTTATAAGAACTAACATACTTATAAAGTATTCTTAAGGCCATTGAACATGACAATTATCTGTAAAATATCAAGTAAAGAAAACTACAGATAATTTTTATTTTTTTTTAGTATACTATGCTCATATCTAGTGCAGCTGCATGTAATCTGATTTGAAACAAAATAACAACCTTATTCTGACATGCTTCTTGTAGGTTATGCTGAATTCCAAACTTCCACTAGAAACTCTGGGAAAGGTAAGATGTGAAAGCTATATCATCATAACTTTCAAAAGAATCTTTGTACATGTATTACTTCATTATGAAAGCAATTGGCTTTAATTTTTCTGTTGTAAAAAATTATGGAGTACAAGTCTGTGGATTTTTTCTATGAATAAGATTTACTTTGTGGCTCAGATGTGTATGCCAGGAGCCAATGAAAATATGTTAGGTTTTTATAATGTAGAACTCGGAAAACACACATCAGATAACTAAAGCAAGTAGGATATAGTTGTTTATATGAAATAATATGGACAAAACATACATTTTGCAAGATCTTTTTTGAAAATCTTATGAATATTAAGTAAAGATAGTGATAAAACAGTTGTCCTCTTTTTAAAATTGTTACAAAAAAGCTCTAATTGTTAGTTAAGATGTCTAAACTTTAATACGTATACTATTGTAGTAAGTCAACTCAATAAAGAATAACGAATTTGTTGCTTACATTTTTCTCCAAAATAAAGAGTACCAAGTTGTGTATCAAATTAACAAAAAAATGTGAATAACAGAATATATGAAATTAATCCAAAAATTAATACCTAAACTCCACATTTGCTTCTTTTCTTCTTCTTCTTTCTTTCTTCTTTTTTTTTTATTATTATTATTATTATAGGAATACATCAAATGAAATCCATGTTCAATGTTTCTTTGTCATGTTTTTAGATATGGGAGCTAAGTGATATTGATAAAGATGGTTTTTTGGATAAAGATGAATTCATTCTTGTAAGTATTTTACAGTGAGTGTTCATTTTTCTAAATTAGTATTGTTAAAGATTGGAAATTATTGTCATTACAGTTTGTTTTAAAAGTTTTGTGTGCATTAGCCTGAAATTTAAAAATAGAAACTTGAATTATGATACTAATATTTTCAATATGGCAGAATATGCCTCAAAGTAATACTGAGTTATACTGACCATTACTCTACCATTGTAAGAGAAATTAAAAATTTATTCAGACATTTATAGAAAGTACTATAAAAAGAAGTATTTAACCTTTTGTGCTCAGGTTGGCCCATTTGCACAAACCCCAGGATGTTGAATATATATACTGTAACTCTGAATGTGCCAAGTGTATCCTCACAAAACTTGACAAGCTTTTAGTAAACATTATAAATATGTTGTACATAAAAAAAATCAGGATTTTTAGTAAATTATTTATACTAAAGATTTGTTTATGAGTTTTTGAAGCCTTTATTGAGTCAATTAGACTATTATAAGCTATAATTCATCACTGCACATTAACTCTCTCAACACAGGCTCTGTCAATTTGACCAACCATGTGACCTCTTTGTACTCGTTTAAAGTCTTTATAGATGTAATACTTCTAACTTTCAATATAGCGTGTATGTCTTCACAAAATTTTGCAATCTTTCAGTTAATATTATGACTTTCACATTCAAAAATTCATGTTTTAGTGAAGTATTTTTAATAAAATATAATATAGATTTGTCTATTGAGTATTTGTTTTGAATAGTCTGTGTGCAAATTAATTTTCATGTTAAAATTAAAAATTCTTTACCTCATCTCGAAAATGTCATATTTCCTTTGTGTAATCCTTAAAACCTCCTAAATGTATTTCATATGTTTTTTCAGTAAAATTTTATTGTTTATCTGTTATTTTCTCTACCTTTTCTCAAAACAGAATCAGTCAATTCGAACGACCTCATAACCACCAAAAAATATTAAAATAAATCAAAATTACCCTTTTTTCTTTCTAGAATGACTTCAAACTATAACATGAAACTACATTCATCCTAAGTAGCTCTAAGTTCATAACAATATACATCTATTTATAATTAAATGTTATTGTTTTATTGCCCTTTGAACCATGTCTAACTACTATCTGTGCCATTATAAGTTGTACATCACTCGGGGAACATGCAGCTTACGTTACGCTAATGAATTACATTACCCACAAGCTACTAAGAGCTGTTCGTGTGCATCTCTCATGAAATATTTTTATTATAATATTATTATTATTTATTTTACCTAATTTAAT